ATGCCAATGCCTAAATCCCTAAACCTAGAGACGACATCAGATCCACCAAGCCCTTAACCCTAAGCCCTGTGGCTTCAGAAGTCCAGGGGAGGGTTTAGGGTTTAGGCTTTAGGGTTTAGGGCTGCTGGTCAGGTCGCGTCGAAAGAAGAACCGCAGCCGGTCTCGCAACAAGAAGAAGGCCCAAGGGGGGGAGTTTAATGGGGGGTTAGGGTTTAGGGTTTAGGGTCTAGGGTTAACCGTGGGTTCTTGTGGCACTGTAGTTCAGTTACGGTAGTACGGGCACATTTAAGCCCTAAACCCTACAGTGTTGTCTACTATATGACTCGAGTATGCCAACTAAATTTACTCAGTTCCTTACCAAGAACTCAGTTGTTTAGTGGGTTAGGGCTGGTGGCCCTGTACCCTAAACCCTAAACCCAAGCCCAAAATCCTGAACCCTAGACCCTAACCCTTGGCGTCGGCGGGCTTTTGGGGCTTCGGACCCTAGATGAACCCATAAACCCCATTCCCCCCCCCCCCCCACAACCCTATAAACCCTAAACCTCAGGCAGGGGTGAATCCAGTGATTTCAACTTTAACAGGGTTCAGGGTTTTTAGGGCTTATAGGGTTTTTAGGGTTTATACGGTGTACAGGGTGTGCAGGGTGTATAGGGTTTGTCGGCTTTTTTTGGTATGTAATGTTTTTTAAGGTTTGTAGGGTTTATATGCGTCAGGGGCACCTAGACTCTGCGGATGCTGGAGCTGTTCCGGGTGCTGCTGCCTCGAAGGATTCTCGCGAATCTTCGAGGAAGCGGATCGTTTCAGAAAGGGCTTTCGGGATTATAATCGGGCTTGGAAGTATTAAGTAGACTTACTAAGTCAAAAGAGCTTCCAAGTGAGCCAGCCTCAAACCCGGCGGGTTCATGTACCCATAGTAGCATCGAGGGGTTCCTATTCAGTAGCATTAGAGCCCAAGTATATACATGGGTACATGGACCCTAAACCCTAAACCCTAAACCCTAAACCCTAAACCCCAAACCCCAAACCCCAAACCCCAAACTAAACCCTAAACCCTACACTCACCCTTAGGGGGACGCCTAGGAGAAGAGCCGGTCAAGGAAACGCAGCGCCAGCAAGCGCAAGGCTGCGGAGGGCAGCTCGGAGGGCCCTAAGCCCTATGGTAGGGTTTAGGGTTTAGGGTTTAGGGTTTAGGGTTTAGGGTTTAGGGTTTAGGGTTTAGGGTTTAGGGTTTAGGGTTTAGGGCTTAGGGTTTAGGGTTTAGGGTTTAGGGCTTGGGGCTTAGGGTTCAGGGTTTAGGGTTTAGGGTTTGGGTTTAGGGTTTAGGGTTTAGGTTCCAGTTTCCCGTATATAAGGGTTTAGGAGCTTAGGGCTTTCGGAGCTTAGGGCTTGTTATTCCCGAACCGTTGGGTTTTCTGAAGCCTCAGGGTTCAGGGTTTGTACTTGACCCGACCCTGCGCCGAAAGGCGCGGTCTGCTAGACCCTGCACTCTAAACCTTATAAACCCTAAACCCTAAACCCTGAACCCTGAACCCTAAACCCTGAACCCTAAACCCTAAACCCTAAACCCTAAACCCTAAACCCTAAACCCTAAACCCTAAACCTAGACGGGTAGAAATCTTGAGAATCCGAAATGAGACCCGAAGGCCGAGCCGAAGAAGAGTGAAACGCCTCGAGCCGAGCATCGCGGGATCTCGACTGAGGGTTTAGGGTTTAGGGTTCAGGGTTTAGGGTTTAGGGTTTAGGGTTTAGGGTTAGGGTTTAGGGTTTAGGGTTTAGGGTTTAGGGTTTAGGGTTTAGGGTTTAGGGTTTAGGGTTTAGGGTTTAGGGTTTAGGGTTTAGGGTTTAGAGAACTTGCTGCTTTCAGGGATTGCGCTCCATGGAGTGGCCCTCAAGGAGTTCATGGGGCCTGTTAGGGTGCACAGGCTTCTGAGGGTACTTTTCATGGGCCTTAAAAATGGTCCCTAAACCCTATACCCTAAACCCTAAACCCTAAACCCTAAACCCTAAACCCTAAACCCTAAACCCTAAACTCCTCTAAAGGGTTCTGGTGTATGGGCCCTTAATTTGTATAGGGTATGTAAGTACCCTGTTTAAGCGCCCATACTAAGGGTAGCCACCCTCAGAAGGCTTTGTTGGCTGTGCCTTCCCGAAGGGCAGTTGCAGCTTGCCACGGTATATAAGGTCCCCACCATGTAACTACCCTAGGACCCCGTTTAAGGGCCCATAGGAAGGCACCATGTAACTACCCTAGGAGCCCGTTTGAGGACCCATACGGAGGCACCATGTAACGACCCTAGGACCTATTTTTTTTGTTTCTCGGACTTCGGGCTTTTAGGGCCTCCAGGTTTTGGGGTTTAGGGTTGGTTTGTGGACTTCTGGGATGGTTGTGTTGTTCAGGCCCAGGCGCTGGTGAACGTTTGGGGCTCAGCCTTTAACAACCTAAGCTTGGGATGTTCCCCCTTACACTCGCAGTCCTTAGCAGGGAGTATTTTGGGGGGCACTCTACTCCCAATTGAGGAGTGATAGTATAAGGGGGAACATCCCAAACCTAAGCCCTAAACACTGGACATAGCCTTCTTTTTGCAGAAGGACTATCCGAGGGATGCAGCCCTAAACCCTAAACCCTAAACCCTAAACCCTGAACCCTAAACCGTGGCTCTGCTGGGGCATGTCGACGTCTGTGAGCTTCTCAACTGCTCAGAGCAGCATGTTGTATGGTTTCTCTCGACTGGAATGCCATGCCTGTTGGTTTCTACTTTTATTTGCATAAGAACCCCGAGAATACAAGATACTAATCCGTATTACCCTTTTAAGGAAGCCCTAAACCCTAAACCCTAAACCCTAAACCCTAAACCCTAAACCCTAAACCCTAAACCCTAAACCCTAAACCCTAAACCCTAAACCCTAAACCGTGGGGGGGGGGGGTCTTCGGCACCTCGGGGTTCCCCTTAACCGTCACATTCGTGGCTCAGTTGAAGTTCATTGGTTCATGCCTTCGAGTCTATGTTTAGGGTTTAGGGTTTAGGGTTTAGGGTTTAGGGTTTAGGGTTTAGGGTTTAGGGTTAGGGGCTCTAGACCCTAAACACATCTAAACACTATCAACCATGACGCCCCCCCCCCCCCCCCCCCCCCCCTCCCCTAAACCCCACTCAACCCGCCCCCCCCCCCCCCCCCCCCCAAACTGACTTTAGGTAACCCGAATCCCCAAACGTTAAACCCTACCCCCCCCCCCCCCCTTTCTATACTGACTTTAGTTAACCCTAACCCCTAAACCTGAACCCTAAGGATGCATGCATAAAACCGAAACCGAAACCCTAAATGTCCAGACTGATCACTCTACGGCCCTTTCTAACCCTTCTTTTTGACTTGGTGGGCCCCCCCCTTCGCAGGGTTTAGGCTTGAAGGGCTGTGGGTTTAGGGTTTAGGGTTTAGGGTTTAGGGTTTAGGGTTTAGGGTTTAGGGTTGAAGGGCAGTGGGTTCAGGGTTCAGGGTTGAGGGTTCAGGGTTCAGGGTTCGGGGGTTTAGTACGAGTTCTGAGCACTTTTGAAGGTTTTCTTGGGGTTCTATGCCGGAGCATGCCCGTAACCGCCAACACACGTGTAGCTGGAGGTCAAAACGACGGAACCGCTCGGCTTCGGGCAAGTCGCGAGGCACGGGTTAAGCGCTTAGGGCATGCCTGCTTGACCTGCTCCGTGTAAGTCACTTTGCAAGCATGTTCGGCGCTGGCACCAAGGTTCCTCAAAGGCACGAGAGCAAGTTGCGGAGTTGCAGCGGGTCCTTGCATGATACCGCTAAACCCCGAACCCTTCAGATGACCTATTCGCACTAGCTGCTACGAGCGCTGTGCCCTGAAACTCTACACACAGAGGCTACCTTTCTAGTAAATACTATTCTGGCATCAGAGACCCAAAAGCCTGAACCTTTTCCTAAGAACTAGATGGGGGTGATATTACAATGACGACCCTAAACCCTGAACCCTGCAGTTACTGCGCAGTAGGTTTTGGGTTCTTAGGTCTTCAATGCTAGACCCCAAACCACCCGAAACCCCAAACCACCCTAAACCCTAGACCCTAGCCCTAAACCCTCAAACCTCAACCCTAAACCCTAGCCCTAAACCCCCTAAACCCCCTAAACCCCAAACCCTGAACCCTAAGCCCTAAACCCTAAACCCCAAACCCTAAACCCTAAACCCAAAAACAGGAAGGCGGCGGAGCCCGGCTGAGAGGCCACAGAGCTTTCACTGGTTTTAGGGTTTCCGCCTTCAGTCGAAGGGGCCCAGAAGGGCCCATGTGCCCATTTAGGGTTTAGCGTTTGGGGTTTATAGGGTTTAGGGTTTAGGGTTAGGGTAGTATATACTTGGGCCTTAAAGTGGCTTCTAACTAGCAGCTTTCGCGCCCAAGTCTATACTATGTAGGCGCATGATGGGAGAAATGACCAGCTTCCCAGCAGAACCATATGAGCAAATATTTCTATAAAGGGGTTCTTCAGAATTAGGGGAGAATACTGAGCCTGTTAAAACGGCTACAGTAAGGTTCATTTCGTAAGTCCGAAGTAGGGTTCTTTGAGTTTCCAGCGCAAAAGCAGGTTGTGACCAGTTCTGAATGTAGCTGCCCTGATTCTAGCCCGAGAACTTTTGGGTTTAGGATTTAGGGTTTCTACACCCTAACCTCAAACCCAAATCCTTCGGAGGCATGTTCGATTACCCTGCAATCAGAGCCTTCCTTCGTTTGCTTTAAACCCTGGCCCCTGTTAGGGGTTAGGGTTCTCGGATGTGCAATTTAGTTTTGAGAAAGTTTAGGCTGCATACTCTCCCCACCCCAGACGTAAGGACCAATACACGTAAGTGAGTGAAGGTATAGCACGAAACCCTAAACCCTATTACCATAGGCTACGGCTTCATGAGCTGGCTACATTGTTGGGCTCAAACCAGAACACTGCCACTGCAAGTGCTCCCCGCGCGCATGCTCCCCGCGCGCTCCCCACGTGCTCCCCGCGTTGCCATGGCCATGCGAGTCATCGTGCTGCTGCTTGTCACGGCATCCAAAAGTGCTCATGCTGCCTTCGAGCCACGAAGGATGGAGATCACTAAGGTGTCTGGCGAATGGAACACAACCTCGTGCCCACCCTTCTCCGAGGAAGTTACACTGGCCGAGTGCCAAGGCCTCGACAGGTACGTCTCAGAGATCACCGATGAGGATCTCCCCAAAGCTTCAACACCCATGTCGTCGGTGCGCCAGCCAGCAACAGTTTTCCCGTTTGTAAGCAGATCCCCACGACGAGCACGACAATGACCGTCACAACTACGAGCACGACGAGCAAGACACTTACCATGACAACTACGAGCACGGCGTCCGTCACGACGAGCACGGACACGACAAGCACAGGCACGACAATGTCGACAATTACCGTGACAGCCAGCACAACGAATACGGCTACGACGAGCACGGCCACGACGAGCACGGTTACGAGGAGCACGGCCACGGCCACGACAAGCACCGTGACAATGACCTCGATCAGCTCGACGGCGACGTCGACGTCGAAGACCGCGTCAACCAGCACCACCGGCACCACCTCGACAACAACGCGATGCCAGGTCTGCCACCCCATTTGGTCCTATATGTGCCGGGAATGCAGCGAGCCACCCGAAGAGTGGGAGGCTGCTCAGGGGTTGTCCGTGGGGTTGATCATTGTTGCTGTGGTGAGCCGTGTATGTTTGGCCTGAGGAACGTGGAGGCACCGCCCGCAGACCTTGTTTTGAAGCAGAGAAAACCCTAAATAAGGGTCCATGTACCCTTATCGTATTATATAACTATATAAGCTCGGGACCTAAAGCTACCGAAAAGGATCCCCCCTAAGGCCCAAGTTTATACTAGATGGGTACATGGATCATTGTTTCACTAGACAGAAATGTTTTCAAGCAGCACGAAACCACCAGGACGAGCGGAGCTCGTTAAGGACGGTCGGCCAGTTCACCCTGTTCCCGAAATGTGGACTGACAGCCTTGTTCCCCGCAAGAGGGCCCCCTTTCGTATGAATCATCTTTAGTGAACGGGAGTTAGAACCTAGGGCCTTTATAACCCTACTTATAGGGGGGGTTTCCGAAATCAGGGTCTTTACTAAAGGCAATCCGATTATTTTGGGGATCTATTTAGGGGTCGGGCCCCCTAGCTGCTTATAAGTACAATGACTATTGGGTTAATACGTACCCTAAACCCTAAACCCTAAACCCCAAACCCTAAACCCCAAACCCTAAACCCTAAACCCTAAACCCTAAACCCTAAACCTCCAAGTAGTTGTGTGACAATGGCTTCAGAAAGAAAGCGAGTGCGGGGCTGATGCAGTGGAGGATTCGAAGTCGGGCTTTGGCAGGCAGGTTTAAACCCTAAACCCTAAACCCTAAACCCTAAACCCTAAACCCAGGGTTGGGGGGGAATTCGACTTGAAAGGAAGCCCGAAGCGCCCCTGAGAGGGCAAAAGCAGTATATCCTAAGCCCGAGGCCTTTTCGACCCCAAACCCTAAACCCTAAACCCTAAACCCTAAACCCTAAACCCTAAACCCTAAACCCTAAACCCTAAACCCTAAACCCTAAACCACCTTAAGCCCTAAAACCCTAAAGACCTTCAGCCCTAAACCCTAAACACCCCAAGCCCTAAACCCTATAAAACCGAAGCAACCCCGAAGCCCTATCAAGCCTTGAGCCCAAAGACCTACTATTTGCTTAAAACCAGGATGGGCTGTGAGGCCTTAAAATCTTAGGGTTTCGGGTTTAGGGTTTAGGGTTTAGGGTTTAGGGTTTAGGACCCAATTAAGGGCCTTTTAACGGATTGCAGGGTATAATAGCCCATCCTGGAAAAACCCATGAGAAGAAAGAATAACAATCCCTATATGACGCTTAACAAGGCAGAGTTTTTTTTGTTTTTTCGGGGTTCTTAAGCAATTAGTAGAGACTTGTCCGAGTCCTAAAGCCCGAAACACCTTAAGCCCTAAACCCTAAACACCCTAAGCCCTAAACCCTACAAAACCTAAGCAACCCCCCTGAAACCATCCAATGTCCAGCTCGGTGCTGCCCCTTCCCACCTTCACCTTAGATAGTGCGCAGTGCCCATGTACCCACCTTACAGGGTTTAGGGTGTAGGGTTTAGGGTTTGTTGGGGTTTAGGGTTAGGGTTCAGGGTTTAGGGTTTAGGGTTTGGGGTAACATAAGGTTGAGTCCTACCCAGGGAGCCTATGGAGGGTACCTTACCCTAAGGGTCCATGCACCCATATTGTTTCTACTTGGGCCTTAAATGGTTTCTCCTATTTCGTAGCCTTAGGGCCTTGGTAGCCCAAATGGTACCCTTTACCCCTTTTTGTTGTTAAGGTTTCCCTTATAAAAAAGCCAACCCAAAGAAGAGTGCCCTTATAATATTACCTCTTTTTGTTGTTAAGGTTTCCCTTATAAAAAAGCCAACCCAAAGAACCTTATCACAATATGGTTGCTGGGCGACCTTGGGGCCCACGTGTAGACGACATGGCTGCATGGACCCTTTGGGGTGAGAGGGACATGAGGTTGAATGCGATCTGGGAGCTCCTTAATCTAAACCCTCAACCCTCAATCCTAAACCCTAAACCCTAAACCCTAAATCCTAAGCCCTCCCTTCAGGAAGAAGAGCAAAAGTAAGGAGTCGAGCAGCAGCCCAGTCATCGTGAAGGCGAGCAAGGCTGGCGAGGGTTTCGGGTTGAGGCATGAGGGTCAGACTCCCCGCCCCTCCCCTGAAAGGGGGGGTTTAGGGTTTAGGGTTTAGGGTTTAGGGTCTAGGGTGGGTACCCCAACCTCTCTTGTTCGTCAAGTAACGGCTCTGCATCTCTATAGGAGCCGTAAAGCGGCAGTGCAGCGACAACGCATGCTTTCAAAGCATTTGCAATTTGGCCCTCAAGAGAGGAAACTTGGGATGTTCCCCCTTCCCCTTACACACAGTTAATAAGGATTATAAGAAGGGGTACTGTAATCCCGATTAAGGACTGTTCGTATAAGGGGGAACATCCCAAAAGAGAAAGCTGCAGCCCTAAACCCTAAACCCTCCCTAAACCCTAAACCCTAAACCCCAAGAGAGGACTCCGGCACCGGCCTGTGAGCCCAGATCACCGGCGAATGAGCCCCTGCATCTGTGCATACCGCCGCAACTTAAAACGCCAATGCCTAAACTTTAGGGTTTAGGGTTTAGGGTTAGGGTTTAGGTCCCAAACCCTAAATCCTAACCCGACATTCCATACCCTAAATGCTGAAACCTAGAAGAACCCTCATTCAACCCTAAAGCTTGGGATGTTCCCCCTTATACTAACATTCCTTCATAGGCATTAAAGTACCCGCAATTATAATCCCTAGTCAGGACTGTTAGTATACCGGGGAGCATCTCAACCTAAATCCCTTAAAACCCTAAAAGCCCCTAAACACCCTAATACCCTAAGGATGTTCAGTTTTTTGGAATTTGCCCTAAACCCTAAACCCTAATGCCCTAAACCCTAAACCCTAAACCCTAAACCTGTGACTGCAGGAAAAGAAGGATGAGCCAGAGGTAAAGAAAGCTGAGGCCCGACGAACCATCTGGACGGTTTATACCAGCAGCGTTGGTGTAGGGTTTAGGGTTTAGGGTTTCGGGTTTCGGGTTTCGGGTTGGTTTAGGGGTTGGGCTTTTGGGGTACACTCCTTAATCGGGATTCTGCTACCGCCTTTTGACAATCCCTAATAAAGGACTATAAGGGGGAACGTCCCAACATGGGAATAATCGTGCATCTTGGTCGGGAGGTTTCGGGAAAACGTCGACCGGCTCTGAGGTTCCTTTCTGGGTTAGCTATGGGGCGGGGAGACCACCCTAAAGGTAGTACATAGGAGCCTTAGGCAATGTATGGGCTTCGGGTTTAGGGTGAAGTTGGCTTTTCGGGCTGTTTGGGGCATTCCTAGACTGGTTTAGACATGATCTTTCACTTCAGTTGCTTCGATCGACAAGGGCCTTTTAAAGTCGAGTGCTTAACTAGGATGCCCAGTAGTACCCTTATTCCCTTTTTGGGGGGGTTTAGGTTCCCTTATAAACCCCTTTAAGCAAAAAAGGGCACCCTTTTTAAGCCTAGGTTACTGGGCAGCCTAGTTAAAGGCTCGAGAGTGCGGGCTTCTCGGCATTTGCTGCATGCCTTCGACTTGTTGGCGCTTAGGGTCTGAAAGGTCCAAGTTTAGGGTTTAGGGTTTAGGGTTTAGGGTTTAGGGTTTTCGGGCCCTAATCCCTAGACCCTAAACCCTAAACTTAAACCCTTCAACCGCGGGTTTTTTTGGGGGGTTTGAGGTTCAAGGCCGGGGGGGGGGGGGGGGGGCTGGCAGCCGCGAATTGGGGTCAGATCGGATCCCCTTAGCGGATGACGGTCAGCTTTACATGGGGGGGTTTCCGAAACTAGGGTTTAGGGTTTTGGGTTTAGGATTTAGGGTTTAGGGTCAGGGTTCGTATAGCGAGCGCTCGTACAGCCCAGTGTTCCCACTGACGCTGCCTTAACTATACTATGCTGTTTGGGGTCTAGGGGTCTACCCCCAACCCTCCCCCTTAAAGGGACCTCCAAAAGGCTAGCCAGCCCCAATTGGTAGCCCTAAACCCTAATCCCTAAACCCTAAACCCTAAGCCCTAAACCCTAAACCTTAAACCCTAAACCCTAAACCCTAAACCGCAGCCCTGGGACCCAGAAGCCACCGAGCACTCAGGAAGTCACGGCTGCGCCGAGTCCGCCGTTCGAGACTGAGTGGAAGCGATGGGCTGGCATGACTAGGATGCCCAGTAGTACCCTTATTCCCTTTTTGGGGGGTTTTGGTTCCCTTATAAACCCCTTAAAGCAAAAAAGGGCACCCTTTTTAAGCCTAGGTTCCTGGGCAGCCTGGCTTAGGGGTTTAGGGTTTTGGGTTTAGGGCTTTGGGGTTTATGGCATAGGGGTTAGGGGTTTAGGGGTTAGGGGTTTAGGGTTTCGGGTTTAGGGTCAGGGGCTTAGGGTTTAGGGGCTCAGGGTTAAGGGGCTTTGGGTTCAGCGGCTTAGGGCTTATGAAGGGTTTAGGGGTTTTAGGGTTTGGGATTCCAAGCTCTAAGCCCCAAAGCTATATTGTGACCAGACTCGGTTTACGGGAATGGATGCGCATGCTTGTAGATATGCTCTAAAAATTGGGCTTCGTACGTGTTTAGTGTTAAGGGTTTAGGGTTTAGGGCAGACATGTTAACGTTTCGAACATAGATCTCAGGGCGTTGGGGAACTGGATGGCCGGCGAGAAAGCCAGGATTGACGTACCCGCCAGTGTCCTCACAAACAAGTCAGTGCGGCCCACATGGGCGGTTTCCGGAATAGGGGTGCCCTTTAGGGGGGTTCCTATCAGAAGGATTATACTATTTTGGGGCATCTTCCGGGTAACCTTATTGGGGGAAATACCCACATTCCCTTCCAATGAATGCTTAGTTAGGCCTAAACCCTAAACCCTAAACCCTAAACCCTAAACCCTAAACCCTAAACCCTAAACCCTGGGCTTAGGAAGGCCATTTCTTTGAAGCATGGACGAAGGCGACAGAAGAGCCCTCTGGCCCAGAAGGAGGAGGCCATAAAAGAGCCAGTGAAGGACGGCCTCTCGCGGCTTTTCCTAGAGATACTTGGGTTTTTTTGTGTTTTTCCTTCAGTTGTTGGGTACTGTAATTCCCAAGAGACAGCTAAACAACAAAAACAAAGAAACAGCTAAACTTATAGTTTTCGGAAATTGGGAGTCGGTCCATAAAAAATCGGGCTCTCTACTTGCGCTAGGCAGTTCAATGGCTTGGTAGCCCGCTGGTACCCTTTTGCCTTCTTTTGGTTCAAGGTTCCCCTCTAAACCTTGGGTTTAGGGTTTAGGGTTTAGGGTTTGGATAGGCTGCGACTTCCTTCGCGGTACTTACTATGCCCTACCCTAAGTGCCTTCGACTGGCTGGTTCTTGAATGAGGTGCCCGACATAATCCTTTAAAGGGTATATATAGGGGTTCTTAGTAGGGAATGAGGGAATGAGGTACCCGACATAGTCCTTTAAAGGGTATATGTAGGGCCCTAATATCCCTCATTCCCTACCTTCAAAAGAACCAGGGGGTCAAGGGGAGGCTAGGAGCACAATCAACCTCCCTAGGCCCCCTGGCTCGGCCGGAAGTCCCAGGCGTGTACCCTAAACCCTAAACCCTAAACCCTAAACCCTAAATGTGAAGAAAGGCCTGGGCTTGGAAGCACGCAAAATCCACGACGGGCCAGAAGACTGCAGATAATCCCCAAGCCCTAAACTTTCAACAGCTGCAGGTGAGAGTTGGGGGGGGGGGGGGGTTGGGTCAAGGTCATCTTGGCTTCTTGTTTTCGGGGCTCGGGAGGGTACTTGGCGGTGCCGGCGACAAAACTTACGTTACTTCGTGGCTGGAAAGCGCGGGGAGGAAGGGGGGGGGAGGGGAAGCCCTTCTTCCAAAATCGGAAGCCCGAAGCCCCAAGCCGCAAACTTCGAACCCTAAGCCAACCAAAAGACCCATTGACTTTGTCATAGTTGGGTAACATTTTACATTTTTAAGGGTACTTAAAACCCAATAAGGAATGTACATTTAGATTTTTAATACTATCCCAACCATGAACCAGTTGACACGGGCAGGAGATTGAGGAGTCTCCCAAGAAGGAGTCAAAAGAGGAGGATGTAGGCCGGGCTCCAGCTTTCGGGAGCTGATGGGGTTTAGAGTCTTAGGGTTTAGGGTTTAGGGTTTAGGGTTTAGGGGTCTTAAGTCTTAGAGTCTCAGAGTCTTCGAGTCTTAGAGTTTGAGAGTCTCAGAGTCTTGGAGTCTTAGAGTGCTAGCGTTTTAGGCTCTTAGAGTCTTAGAGTCTAGAGTTTAGGGTTTCAGGGTTTAGGGTTAAGTTGCTTTCTTTCGAAAGAATCGGCGCTGAGTAGCCTTGAGCCTTTGTCGGGGTGTCGGGGTTCAGGGCTGGGGCCTGTCGCACCCTAACCGCCAAGCCACAAACTCATCCCAAGGCCCTAGAAAGTGAGGGAGTGCAGAGTTTCAAGTCTTTTGGCTTTTGGGTTCTCCAGTGGCACGCCAGTCCTACTTCCCGTCGAAGAAAACTCAACACAAACCCCTAAGCCCGAATTCCGATTACACCCCAAACAAGAAGAAAGACCCTAAACCCTAAACCCTAAAACCGGGGTGTACCCTAAACCCTAAACCCTAAGCCCGAATTCCGATTACACCCCAAACAAGAAGAAAGACCCATGACAAGTGCCAACGGGGTGTGGGTTTGTAAGTTGCAGGGTTAGGGTTTAGGGTTTAGGGTTTAGGGTGTAGGGTTTAGGGTTTAGGGTTTAGGGTTCAGGGTTAGTCCCGAAACCCTAGGTTTAGGGTTCAGGATTTGGGGGGTTCCGAAAATGGGAGGTACCTTTTTTGGGGGTGACCTTACGGGGATCCTATTTTATTTAGGGAAAACAAGGGTGCCCCCATTTTGGGAAATAGCCCAATTTAAGCCCTAAACCCTAAACCCTAAACCCTAAACCCTGAACCCTGAACCCTGAACCCTGAACCCTGAACCCTGAACCCTGAACCCTGAACCCTGAACCCTGAACCCTGAACCCTAAGCTTTGTTTGGGACTTAGGGTTTTGGCTTGGCGCCTGAAAGAGGCATGGTGCAAGAAGACAAAGCCGAGACCAAGTCTGCGGAGGAGGGTATAGGGTTTAGGGTTTAGGGTTTGGGGTTTGGGGTTTAGGGTTTACGGTTTGGGGCTTAGGGTTTAGGGTTTAGGGTTTAGGGTTTACTGTTTAGGGTTTAGGGCCCTAAACCCTGCAACCTGGATACCCGTCTTCCCTGGAGTTGCTTCGAGGTTGCGGTTGTGGAGGCCGTGGAGGTCACAGGAGTCAGGTGCCTTTAGGGTTTAGGGTTTAGGGTTTAGGGTTTAGGGTTTAGGGTTTAGGGTTTAGGGTTTAGGGTTTAGGGTATCCCGTGCCGAAGCAGTGGGGAAAGCCATGCCTCAGGGCTTCAGGATATTCGGGGGTCAGGGTATTTCCCCATCTAGGGTTCAGGATCTAGCATGCTGAGTATCACAGAACGATGCTAGGTTCGCATTGCGCGCGCTATCTCACCCCAGAAACCTTAAATTCCTAAAGCATAAAGCCGCACAACATTGAAACGCTATGCCCGAAATCACCAGCCCCTACAGTGGCCGTCTAAAGCAGCTGTCCTTGCAACTGGGGAGCCAAGTACCTTTTTCTTGATCCTAAGCCGTGAACCCCTAAACCCCAAACCCTAAACACCTAAACCCCAACCCCTAAACCCTAAATCCTGAACCCTAAACCCTAAACCCTAAACCCGAAACCCTAAACCCTACCACTGCAGCCTTAAAGAAACCAGAAGGTTGGGTCCAAGTAAATCTCTCATCCCCAATGTCCAAACCCTAAGCTCTAAACCCCAAGCCCTAAACCCCAAACCCGTAAACCTTGAACCTTAAACCCCCAACCGTAAACCCCAAACCCTAAACCCTAACCCCTACACCCGGGGTACAGGGATCCTTTTGATAGATGCCGGGCCCCATCACGGCTGCAGGCAGCTAAGGCAGCTCCTGCAGGCAGGGTTTAGGTTTAGGGTTTAGGGTTTAGGGTTTAGGGTTTAGTATTTAGGGTTTAGGGTTTAGGGTTGAGGGTTTAGGGCTTGGGGTTTGGTACGGCACCGGCGTTTAGGGTTTTAGGGCTTGGTACTCCAGAAGTACCGGGGCTTAGGGTCTCGTGTTTTGTCTTTTGGGGCCCCTTACAGCATACATCAAGCCACAATAGGGTACCCGCACTATCACATGGGGGGGATACCAAGAGGGCTCAGGGTTTTCCAAGAGGGCTCAGGGTTTTCAACCAAACGCTTTCCGGTGCTTAAGAGGAATTGGAAGGAGTGCAACGCTTATGACTTCAATGTGTTCTTGCCCTAAACCCTGAACCCTAAATCCTATGCTAAAAAACCTGCTAGGCCGTCCTCTCTCCGCCCCCAATTCCCTTAGGAAAGACACAAGAGCCTTCCACCACGTGGGTGTAGGGCTTACGGCTTAGGATCTACGTACTAGTTCTGTACAGGGGAGAGGCAATAAGATGGTGTGCCTTATAAACCCCCGCCCCCCCAAAGAACCCTGGTAAGGGTCTTTTGCGGCAGTGACTTCCCTAATCCTAAACCCTAAAACCCTAAGCCCTAACCCTAAATTCCCGTTTTCGAGCTATAGGATTTAGGCTTTGGCTTCTCGAAACTGTTTGTCCGGTGCCGCAATGGTGGCTGGGTTGCCCTACTCCCCCACTCTACACTAGCCCCCCCTAGGTTCCCTCCATAATTAAGGCCATTAGGGATAATTAAGCCTAATTCAGGTTATTTAAGGGGGGAACCCGTGAATAGTCCCCCTGATTTCTTTGTGGAGTCAGGTTCCGGACATCGCAAGAAAAGACTCCCTGGTTATTCGTGGCTTACAGAGGTAGGGCTTATGGTTTGGGGTTTAGGGCTTACGGTTCAGGGTTTAGGGTTTAGGGTTCTGAGGGTTCAAGACTCAGAGGCTTTAGGATGTGGGGCTAACCCTAAACCCTAAACCCTAAACCCTAAACCCTTACACCCTATAAGCCCAAACCTGTTCCATCCACCCCCAGCCCTCTTCAACTCACAAACTGTAGCTTCAACTCTTGGGTTGGCGGGTGGGTGGGTGGAGGGTTTAGGGTTTAGGGTTTAGGGTTTAGGGTTTAGGGTTTAGGGTTTGGGTTTTGGGTTAAGGGTTTGGGGTTTTGGGTTTTGTGCTTGGGGCTTAGGGTGACGGTTTTAAGATCTAGGGCTTTGGCGCTCGAAAGCATGGTCTTTTTTTTCGGGTACCTTATCTACGTATGTTAATGGGAACTACACCCTAAACCCTAAACCCTAAACCCTAAACCCTAAACCCTAAACCCTAAACCCTAAACCCTAAACCCTAAACCCTAAACCCTAAACCCTAAACCCTCAGCTCGCCCCGGAGGCGACGATCGCGAGGAGCGCCTTCAGCGATTTGCCAAAGAGAGCCATCTGCCACTGGGCGGCAGCCTGGTTGTCTCAAGCAACACACCTTCCAAAGGGTTTAGGGTTTGGGGTTTAGGGTTGAGGGTTTAGGGTTAGGGTTTAGACAAAAGCCCTAAGAGCTCTAACACACCTTAAACTCTGAGACGTTTTCTACCCATCGAGACGAGAGGTCCCTCGTTCGGATCAGCGCAGATAGCCACGGAAACATCACTCCACTTTCGCACCCCAAGCACTAATCCCATGTGCGACTGAGCCCCAACCCTCCCCCCTGCCCCCACACCACCCACCACGCACGCACAAACGCACGCCCACCCACAAGTCAAAGAAGCCTACAGTAAACCCTAAACCCGACGCACTGGAGCAACCCTAACCTGCTAAACCCATCAAAGGACCCTAAACCCTAGACCCTAAACCCTCAACCCCAAAGCCTAAACCCCACCCTCAATCCCAAAACCGAAACCTTGTTCCGGGTCACTGGTTGGAGGTTCTGGGTCCTGACTAATCCAAATCTCACTGTACTTACAACCTTGAGTGGATATAATTGGGTTATAAGTACAGTTACCCTAAACCCCAAACCCGAAACCCCGAAACCCCAAACCCTGAACCCTAAACCCTAAACCCCAAACCCTAAACCCTAAACCCCCTCATCCTGGGGTTTGTAAGTACCCTGAACCTCCAAGTGAACCTTAGCCGCCAGGATTCCACAGGCCATGGAGGCCGCCGGTGTTAAGGGCTGCTAAGGGCTTTCAAGGGCGTCAGGGGTTTAGGGTTTAGGGTTTAGGGTTTAGGGTTTAGGGTTTGGGGTTTGGGGTTTAGGGTTTAGGGCTTTCAGGGCTTTCAGGGCTTTTTGAGGGCTTTTTGGGCTTTTTGAGGGCTTTTTGAGGGCTTTAAGAGCTTGAGGGCTTTAAGGGCTTTAAGGGATTTCAGGGCATGAAGGAAGAGGGCTTAAGGGCTTATGGAGCGTTTCAGGCCTGAGGGCTCCAGTGTTGGGGTTTTGGGTTCAGGGTTGAACCCTAAACCCTTAACCCTAAACCCTGAACCCTAAACCCTAAACCCTAAACCCTAAGCCCTAAACCCTAAACCCTAAACCCTAGTTTCGGAGGGGTGGGGGGAGGGGTTGGGTCTCTGAGTTCCTAAACGCTAAAGCTTTGAAGCACCCGCGAGTGCTTGAGAGTCGAGGTTGAGTCGCCCTTGGTGGCTCAGTGGTACCCTTTGTGCCTTGTTTAGGGTTTAGGGTTTAGGGTTTAGGGTTTAGGGTTTAGGGTTTAGGGTTTAGGGTTTAGGGTTTAGGGTTTCGGGCGAGAGCATAGGGCTTCCTTGAAGGTCCATGGGTACCTTTTGGGGACCGAAGATTGAGGGTCATTTCCCTTATACCGCTGTAATTCCAATTTCGGTACATGAACCAGAAACGCTTTCAGGATTCATTTGGTCCCTGAGGTAGTTACAAGTAGGGTTTTATGGTTTATACCTACCCCACATGTAGCTAATTACCATAGGGGGCGCTATACTTTGTTGTTCTAGTTAGAATTCCAACCCAACCCCTAAATTTTAAGCCCTGAATTGCCCGAAAGCCCAAGGTTTGCGGCTTATCGAGTTTTTGTGGATAGAAGGAGTTTCTCAAAGGTTCACACTAAACCCTAAACCCTAAACCCTGAACCCTATATACCGTGAACTTACTTCGTGCCTCTTCGCAGGAAACGCGGGAATTCGAGAATTCTGTGCCCAATAAATCATGCTTTAAAGGGGTGGTTGAGTTGGAAATAAGGACCCTAAATCCGAATTCCCGATGTCTCAACACCAAACTGAGCATTTTGATTTGATACACCGACTTCCGTATGCCTCAACACCAAACTGAGCATTCAGACTTAACACACCATCGCCCCCCCTTCCCCTGCAGGCGCTGAGAAACTTGAAGCCTGATCTCCAAGACAAGATCATGGAGGACATGGGGGGGCGGTTGCTGTGTTCTGGGTTCTTGTCGTAAGGAACGAAGACTAAAGTACCATGCTAGGGAGATGATCGGGAAATGTGGGATAGCAGCTTAGCATGGTCCTACCACTGTACAGCATTCAGGCTCGCTTCCCTGCGCGTTTCTTTGCGCACCCCTCCCCGAGCCCCCATGACACTCGGCACCACGAAGACATCATTCCACCACATTTCGCTCAACACAGAAATCAGACCACATGTTTCTGTACACCCCTCCCCCAAGCTCCCCGCACATACCCCCGCGCTTACATTCAGCACCAAGCACAAGTCATTCCCCCGGCACATGTTGCGCACCCCCCCCCCCTTGCCCCCGTTTCAATTTTTTCGTGGGGGTGGCCCTAAGCCCTAAACCCTAAACCAGAAACCCTTTTTGAGTTGAGGGTTTGAGGGTTCCCCTAATGAAAAGTTGATTTCGCAAGAACGGCGCTATAAGCCGTAAACAAGCCCTATACAAGCCGCATAAGCCTTATACACCCCCAACCCCAAAAGCCACCAGCGGCCCTATACTGGGGTCGTTCTAAGGAACCTACGCTTAGTTACCCTCAGTTCCCTGTCAAGAACCCAGTACAAATCACCCAAAGGACCCCTACTTAGAAGCTCTTTTGACTTTGTAAGTCTACTTAGTAACCCCTAAACGAACCCAGTACAAATCACCCAAAGGACCCCTACTTAGGAGCTCTTTTGACTTTGTAAGTCTACTTAGTAACCCCTAAAAACCCCTCTTATACTTCCCATAACCCACCTTGCGAAACCGCCTTGCTAAGTCAAAGGGGCTTCCAAGGAAGGCCTTCAACCCCGGGAGTTAGTATAAGCCCCCAAAAGGAATAAAGAAGCCCTGCAACCCCAGCACGCCGCCCCCCCCCCCCCCCCCCCCCCCCTCGCGCCCTCCCAAAAAAGTTTAGGGTTTGGGGTTTCGATGGGGTGCCTAAACCCTAAACCCCCTAAACCCCCTAAACCCCCTAAACCCCCTAAACCCCCTAAACCCCCTAAACCCCCTAAACCCCCCAAACCCTAAACCCTAACCTCCCCCTCGACACCCCCAAAGCCTCTGCTAGCCCCTGGAGGAGGGTCCCATCAAGCCTGGATGCAATCCGATCATCGTTCTCATGAACCGGATCAAGGAGGCTTCAAACCCTGTGCAGGGTTTAGGGTTTAGGGTTTAGGGTTTAGGGTTTAGGGTTTAGGGTTTCGGGTTTGGGATTTAGCCCTACACTGTCCATCCCAAGGCCTTATTTTGTGTCCCAAATCCTGCGCAGGGTTTGGGGGTTAGAGTTTAGTGTTCCGAATGTGTAGGGGGCCAAGCGGCCAAACCTCCCTAAATAGAGCCTAGTCGCAATTTAGGGTTTATGTTAGGACTAGGGTCTACTCATCAGAACCAGACCCTGTCAGTCACGCAGCAGTGCCGTGTGAGCATCCTCACACCTCTAGTCCCAAGCGCGATATCAACATCGTCATCAAGATTTTGCACTTCGTTCCTACCAAGTCCAAAGACGTGCAGATGCACTCCGTGCTGAGGGAGTCTTGGCAGCAGGTGCTGCTGACAGGCGCTCTACACTTCAAGTGTTCGCTGATAAAGATGATGGTCCAACTGGGGTTGCTGAGCTGGGGTGGGCAGCGCCCTGTCCGGGAAAGGTCCATTTGAACTCAACTCATCGATCTCTAAGGAGAGCGGTTGAGGGCAGCAGCAGATGCGGAACGTGCTCGGCGTATCTTGACTCACACATCATGTCACTGTCACTAACAGGATTTTTGAGGAGCAGCCGCTGGCAGCACGTGCCTGAGGCCTAGAGGAGGAGCGGCTCCGGGACGAAGCAGAGCAGCAGCGCATCTTGGTATGAGAGCTTATGCGTTTGCGCAACTTGAGGATAACATGGCCAACAATCTCTTTTGCTGAATAAGCCCATGGCTTGATTTACTTGAGGACATTCGTTGCAGCTGGAAGTGGATGGACACTTGGGCAGCAACATGACTTCTGTGGACAGCTGATCAAGATTCGTGTTATCTAGGCCGGTTCAATGTCACTATATCTCTGCTGCCTTATCTGAGACCTTCGCCAGCAGCATGAGATCCTCCGGCGCTCCTGGGCAGCGGATAAGACGGCATTCTGATTCCATCTTACTGTTCTGAGTTCTGACTGTACTGTTTCAGGCGACGCAGCGCCAAAACCATCGGAGGCAGCTGCTCCGAGCCCCTTGACTTTGCTCTGTTCCCTGGACGTACGACAGACGCGTGGCTTTGATGGCGGTATATAGACAAGGTCATACAAGTGAAGAAAGACGCTGTGGCAAGCGTGCCGAAGCTTTAAGGCTTTAAGCTAACGTTCAAGTTGTACGTGACCGTTCTCGCAATGTGAATTTCATCCGGCCAATGGCGTGGCGGGCGGGCGGGGGCGGGGGGGTGGGGGTGGACCCTTCCTTTTCTTTCTCTTTACTATTGCCAGAACTGTCAAAGTCCCTCCAAGGTAAGCCTCGGGCAAAGGCCATGCCAAAGATGCGCAGCAGTGGAAGTGGATCCTTGACTTTCCTGGGCAAGTCAGTGTCAGCCGAAAGTCATGTGATCCCGCGGGCGGGGGGGGGGGGTGGACCCTTCCTTTTCTATTTACTATTGGCAGAACTGTCAAAGTCCCTCCAAGGTAAGCCTCCGGCAAAGGCCATGCCAAAGAGGCCCGGCAGTGGATCCTTGACTTTCCTGGGCAAGTCAGCCGAAAGTCATGTGATCTCAATGCGCATGCTGCAAATAACAGCATTGTGCCTTCCAGGCACTTCTTGCTGTTTTGCTGGGGTGTTTGCATTGTGTGACTGAAGCTCTCAACATGCATTTGCACTTCATCCAAGGCAAGGGCAGCTCAACAACCGCACGGCCAACCCTTCCCATCGGCACTGTGAGGAAAAGTAACTGGACTGCTTCAGACGGTTGAGCTTGTTGACTAGGACCTACTAGGAAAGCTGCCTGACCGAAAGCTGAGGGCCGCGATCTCCGCCGAGCCCGCCATCTGCAAAGAGGGAACGTGCCTGGTCTCGGAACTGCCATGAGCATCCTCTCTGCGTTGCCAAAGTGCTCTTTCGTTTCTCTCTTTCTGTCGCTCTGTATATTGATTGCTCAGACTGTTTCTCTATCTTTCCCTCCATCTCTCTCTCTATCTTTCTCTCTCGCTCTCTCGCTCTCTCGCTCTCTCGCACTCTCGCTCTCTCGCTCTCTCGCTCTCTCGCTCTCTCGCTCTCTCTCTCTCTCTCTCTCTCTCTCTCTCTCTCTCTCTCTCTCTCTCTCTCTCTCTCTCTCTCTCTCTCTCGCTCTCGCTCTCGCTCTCGCTCTCGCTCTCGCTCTCGCTCTCGCTCTCGCTCTCGCTCTCGCTCTCGCTCCCTCCCGCCATCCCTCCCCCTCCCCTCCTGCCTGCCCAGTGCTTATCTGGTGCTCACACCCTGGAAGCTGATCCCTCCAGTTCTGTACTTATTGGTATTCCGAGGTTTGGGCCCACTTCTTTGCAGATGTCTCTCTTGCCTTAAGACTTTTTCGTCTGTTCCATGCACAATGAGTGACACCAGGTCATGCAGGGCCTGATTCCTCGTCGGATGAAGAGGCCAGCCCTGGCGGGCACCTGATGCCATGTAAGCCCTGAAGCAGTAAGGTTCAGAGGGGCACTCCTGCTTGGATAGAGGGCAGCATGTTGCTTTTACTCCACACCTTTGAGCACGGAACTGCCACGTGACAGTGCAGTCTGACAGCCGTGAACAACACATTGCTATCTCTGAAAAAACAAAAGGTTTCACACATGAATAAGGTCTTCTCCATCACGATGGATAGTAGCCATGGTGGGCACAGAAAATCTAACAAGTGCCAGAAGAGTAGCCTGAATAGCTAAGGTCTAAACACACTTGAAAACAGATGTAGAGCACCAGGGTTTCGCACATAATTCGAAGCCATAACCAGCAGCTTCATGCAATTCGCAGTCAATCGGGAGGTCTACTTAAGGATTTCACCAAGACCTCTCTTCAGCAAGAGACCCCCGACGCATTCCCAGGACGTGAATCGGCAAGCAGATCGCTGGGCTGGATGTGATGCAAGAATTCCGGCCAGTGTGCCTTGTTTCTGTGCGCAGATGCGAGTTCTTGTCTTGGTGTACTCGGAAAACAGCTTTTTCTGGCAGAATTATGCATGGGCATGTAAGGAAGTCTCCGCCGGGGTCTGGCTGGGCACGGAGGAGGACGCCGAGAACTGGAAGTGGGGCCTGCTGGTGAAATGCCTACCGGAGCCGCCGCCGAAGCCTCCTACGGTTCCGGAGATGTTGCGTTTGATTCTCAGCTATGATCACTGTGTGTCTACTCGGACTCTCAGAATGCGGCAGCAACACACAGCAGACCAAACCAACCCGCTGGCACCTTCCCAGCCTGCAGAAGTTGTAGCCTGAACAGCGTATAAGGAACGTTGGCCACGCCGCTTCGTACAGGAAGCAGCAGGCCGATGTGCTTCTTGGCGGATACGGTTAGCAGCTATGCCAATGCACTTTCGACTCTAATACTACCATGGCTGTGGGCGAGGGGGTGTTTGGGTTTAGGGCAGTTTCCGCACAGCCAAGATACGCCTCCTGCAAGACGGCGTGGGAGCAGAAACTGCCCATACTTTTCTTCTGCCGTGCAGGGAGGCACCGCTCAGCGGCAGCTTGCACAGTTTTTCTGAGCATGGTCTTCAAGGCCTGGGGGGGATCAACAATGAGGCTTAACCCAGTTCTCCGAAGCCCCACCCAGCAGTCCGAAACTCCGGGTTCTAACTTTGAATTCTCAAGACCCTGCCAGGCACACAGTGCAGATGTTGAACGCTGGATTCACTCCAGTCGTCCATCGACTCAGAGCCCTAGCAAGAAACCTGCAGCAGTTTTGTACTTGTTCAGTTACTAATGGGATGAGCAAAGCTCTGAATAGTCACGTAGTGGGCTAAGCTCAGCCTTGAAGATGCACTTGACAATTAGATATTTCAAGGTTATATTCTCAAGTTGCGGTTTTCGCTTGAAGCCTCGAGGATCTGGAAAATGTATGGGAAGGCCTGGGTGTGGAAGCCTCTGGAGCAGTGGCAGATCCGGTGACCTGCGTCTTGCGTGCCTGGGGAGAAAACAAGAGTCCACCAATTCTTTGCCAGAGGGCTGCAAGCACGAGCTATACTATGTACCACTTGTGAAGCCTACAGAACACATAAACTCACGACCCTCCAAGGGATTAACGACAAACCCTAAACCCGAAACCCTAAACCCTAAACTAATGCCCATGAACTTGCAGGTAAAATTCCATGCCTCTTGCACCGCAGAAAGCCCAAGACCCTCCAGACTGGAGAAAAACCCTAAACCCCAAACCCCAAACCCTAAACCCTAAACCCTAAACCCTAAACCCTAATTAAACCCTAAACCCTAAACCCTAAACCCTAAACCCTAAACCCTAAACCCTAAACCTTACACCTCAACTCAGAGATAAGGATCCCTGTTGAGTTTCAAAGGTTCCTTCCCTAGATTCTGGGGGGGTCCAGGGGCTCCCTCTGGGCTCCGCTATCCAAGGGACTAAAGGAGGGACCCTTACTTAGTAGTAGAGTAGGTAACCTTTAACCTTTTTGGGTTAATATATTCCCCTTATAATCCCAAAGGTTAACCTTTAAAACCCCTAGGTACTGGACAGCTAAGCTTATACTTACTGGCTCAAAACCCAACTTTTCAACTTTTGGGCTTCTTATAAGGTAGTTTTTTTCTGAAAGTTTCAACTTTTATTTTTTCAACTTCTGGGCTCTTATAAAGTAGTTTATTCTGCTTTTCATTTCCTTGGGTTTTTGGGGCCCAGTAAGTATAAGGGACCTCAGGGACTCTTTGGGGCTGATTTAGGGGGTTCAGGGTTTAGGGTTTAGGGTTCAGGGTTTAGGGTTTAGGGTTTAGGGTTTAGGGTTTAGGGTAGGGGCCACGCTTAGGTAAAAGGGACAAAACAAAGTACATATCGCGGTTGCAGAAGGGAATAAGACTAAGGGTCCCTTCTAGTGGGGTCCCTCCTTATCCCCTAAACCCTAAACCCTAAACCCTAAACCCTAAACCCTAAACCCTAAACCCTAAACCCTAAACCCTAAACCCTAAACCCTAAACCCTAAACCCTTAACAAAACCTAAGAGTTATCCGAAAAAAATGCAAAGTTCAGAAGCATCCTCGGGGGCCTTCAGCCGTAAATCAGACCACCCGAAACCCTAAACCCTAAACCCTGTACCTACTCTAAACCCCAAACCCCAAACCCTAAACCCTAAACCCTAAACCCCCTTTGAAGCCGAGCCCCTCTTCTGCAAACCCTGAACCTGATTCCAGGTGGCGAACCGGGCGCAGCAGGACGCCGAGAAGTCCAAGGAAGGCGCGGTTTAGGGTTTAGGGTTTAGGGTAATTGTCATTAGGGTTTAGGGTTTAGGGTTATAGGGTTTAGGGCAATAGGGTTTAAGGCTATAGGGTTCATGCACGCGCATCCAGTAGCGCACGAGCCCCAAGCACTAGCCGTCAGGTTTAGGGTTATAAAAGGGGTTATAGAGGTTAGGGTGATTAGGGTCAATATTATGGTCCAGGCGTTTGGCAGGGTCCCTAACCTTCTTTAAAGGATTCTGGTGTATGGGGCCCTTCATTTGCATAGGGTATATAGGCGGTATACAATCCCCCTTGAAAAGGGCCCATACTAAGGGAACCCTAAACCCTAAACCCTAAACCCTAAACCCTAAACCCTAAACCCTAAACCCTAAACCCTAAACCCTAAACCCTAAACCCTAAACCCTAAACCCTAAACCACAAAATAGGGGGAAATTTAAGGGGTACCCTGCTAAGGGCCCACACTACGGGGCCATGTATCTACCCTTGGCAAGCGCAGAGGGGGCCCGGGATCCTCAAGCCCCAAACCCCCAAAAACCATGGGTTTAGGGTTTAGGGTTTAGGGTTTAGGGTTTAGGGTTTAGGGTTCAGGGTTCAGGGTTTAGGGTTTAGGGTTTAGGGCCTTTAGGGTTTAGGCCTTTTCATCTTACCACCTGACTCCTATGCCGTATCATTGTCTTTCTCTCTTTTCCTGACTAGCTCCAAACTAGCCAATATCCCTACCCGAGCAAATTGCAGGTTCCCACCTTATCTGGGGGGGGGGGGGGCAGCTGGATGTTTAGGGTTGAGGGGCCCTTCGGTTTTAGGAATCATGTGCAGTCCAAGATGGGTGCCTACCCAGATAGTATCTGCTTGGGACCCTTAAGCTCCGAAACAGGAACCTTCCAAGTATATACTACATGGGTTCCTGGACGTTTAGGATGGTTTAAGGTTGCATAAGGTTGCATAAGGTCCATGAGAACGCCTTTTTCCACTTAGAAACCCTAAACCCTAATCCGTCCCTAAACCCTACACCCGAAGACTCTTCAAGGGATCCTTGGGTCAGCTTTGTTTATCCAGCGTCGCTCCCTCTGGGTTCGACTTGAAGTACCTAAACCCTCATCCCTAACCTCGACTGCATTGGGATTTAGGGTTTCGGGTTTAGGGTGGTTTAGTTTAGGGTTTAGGGTTTCGGTTTTGGGGTTTAGGGTTTAGCTTCTAGGGCTACTTTTTGGTTTGGGATTGAGAGTAGCCCTGAAATCCCTTGGTCCAGTCCGTGCCCCTGAGCCGTAGTCGTCTTCGTAGTCTTTTGTTTGGCCTGTCCGCCCCCAGAGATGGCGTGGCCACGTGTAAGGCATAAGTCCTTCGTTCAGGCCTTTCCGGCTGTCTGTTCATAGTCACTTTCTCGACTCCGTGCCTCCTTATGAGGCCCATGTGGGGGCGGCCAGTCCGCCAGAAGAGACATCACGCCGTGGAAATCCCTTCTGAAATCCTCACATTTAGGGTTCTGAAGGGCCTCAACCCGTCAAGGGATTACCCTTCGAGGATGCCCCTGCGCAGCCACCACAGCCACTGTTTCAAGACCCGCATCACCGCGAGAAGGGTTTAGGGTTTAGGGTTTAGGGTTTAGGGTTTGTTTAGGGTTTAGGGTTATCGAAAGTGAGCTGGCTGCTCGCTTCACGAGTTGGGCTACACGGTTTCTTCACGGTTGATCGGTATGGAAATACCTCCGGGAACCAGCGCGAGGCAGCTTCCGCGAAAGCCATGTATTGTGCACCTGCTGATATGTAAAGTTCTTCGAAGCATGCAGAAACGCTAAGCCCCAAACCCTAAACTCTTAACCCCAAACCCTTCTTAACCCAAAAACCCAAATTCTAAACCCCAAACCCTCCTGAACCCTGCTGCCCCCTGACAAACCTCTGCCATGAGGCACTTACAAAACCAAACCGATCACTGGAAGGAGAAAGGCCGAAAGATTCTCCAAGCGTAAACGTTTAGGTTCAGGGTGTAGGGTTTTGGGTTTAGGCTTAAGGGCTAGGGTTTAGGATTTAGGGTTTGGGGTTTGGGGTTTGGTGTTTAGAGTTTAGGTTTTAGGGCTCAACCACCGAGCTCCGAACCCCAGACCGCTAAGCCTGAAAGCCACTGCACAGGCAACGGCGAAGAGAAGCCCGACAAGGCCCAGGCGCGGGACAGGCCCTAGCCCTAAACCCTAAACCCTAAACCTTAAATCCTAAACCCTAAACCCTAAATCCTAGATAGGCTTCGGGGGACCCTTAGTAGGGAACCCTTCCCAACCCTCTTTTGGCCCTCTTAGACAGGGACCTAAGTTGAGAGGGTCTTTATGTCTATATCCCCCAAGGGTCCCACGAATCCCATCCCCTACTGAACCCAACAAACTCTAAAGCCCTCAACCCTAAACCAATAAACCCTAAATCCCTAAACCCTGAAACCTAAAGGCCTTACCGCCTACAAAAACAGACAACACATAATAATAATAAGAAGAAGAATAAGAAGAATAAGAATATGAAGAATAATAATCATAGTCATAATAACAATAAACCGTGTATATATATATATATAATATGAACCCACAGACCCCTAAAGTGACCCTCGTTCGAAAAATATCGTGCGCTCCTATACTTTAAGAGGGTGTAGGATTTAGCGTTTAGGGTTTCTCCCCTCAGGCACGAAGTAAGAAATGGCTACCATGGTGGAGGTAAGGGTTCAGGGTCTCAGGCTTTGGGGTAGCTTTTTCCCTGAAGCCTCATGAGCTCAAGTCCAGAAGTTTAGAGTTTAGGGTTTAGGGTTTAGGGTTTAGGGTTTAGGGTTTAGGGTTTAGGGTTTAGGGTTTATTGTACCTCTCAATCATGGTCCCGCTTTGGGGTTCTTATGGTGATGCGGAGCCTTATCTTGCAAGCCAAAAGAAGGGGTGCGGCAAATTCGTCGATGCAAAAATGGGCTTTAGAGCTAGGGTTTAGTCAACCCTAGGACGTAAACCCTAAACCCCAAGCCCTAAACCCTAAGCCCCTAGCCCTAAACCCTAAACCCCTAGCCCTAAACCCTAAACCCTAGCCCTAAACCCTAAACCCAACCTTAGACCCGAACCCCGGAATCCCTGGATCCTTGAACGCGCAGCAGGCACCAGAGACCACACCCGAGCAGGCAGGGCATGCCCTAAACCCTAAACCCTAAACCCTAAACCCTAAACCCTAAACCCTACACCCTAAACCCTAAACCCTAAACCCTGTACCCTGAACCCTAAACCCTAAACCCTAAACCATCCTAGTCCCTAAACCCTAAACCCCAACTACCCTACTGTGACTTTCGGATGCAGGGTTCTTGGGCTTCGGATATTTTTGGGATTTGGGTTTTGGAGTTTGCTGGGCTTCAGGCTGAGGGTTGGGGTTTAGGGTTCAGGGTTTAGGGTTTGGGGTTAGGGCTTGGGGTTTAGGATTTAGGGTTTGGGGTTTGGGGTTTACCCTGGGGTTTGGGGTTTAGGGGTACCACTCAAGAATCTGAGGTAGGGTCTATATGCCGCTGGGGTTTAGGGTTGAAGGGTATTGGTAAATCATAGGCGCAGCACACCCTGAACCCCATAACCCCTAAACCCCAAACCCCTAAACCCTAGCCCTAAACCCTAAACCCTAAACCCTAAACACCTCAACCCAAATTCATGGGACTTGCAAACGCCCCTGGCGCGAATCCCCGAAGACCCTCCCCTGGACGCCGAAACCTAAACCCTAAACCCTTAAACCCGAAATCCTAAATCCCTCCGCCAGCCTGCGGCTGCCACTTTCTTTTGGGGCTTTGTGTTGTTATGGTTTTATGGTTTTTGGGTTTCATGGTTTTGGGGTTCAGGGTTTAGGGTCTAGGGTAACTTCGCTTAGGGTTTAGAGTGTGGGGTAACTTAGTTTAGGGTTGAGGGTTTAGGGTTCCTATTGTCTTGACTCTGCCCCTTACTCAGTTACCCTTAGAGCACAAGCTTCGAGAGATATTGGACCTTCTAGGCAAATTTTGTTCCCTGACTAGGGTGGTTGGGAGTCGTTCGGAAGACAGGAACCCACTGCTGCAGTTTATCAGGAGTTCAGTGTTCCAAAACCCTAAACCCTAAACCCTGAACCCTAAACCCTAAACCCTTAAGGGTTGTGGGATGGATGGCGCGGGGGCGGGGGGGGGGGGGGGGGGGGGGGGGGGGGGGGGGGGGGGGGGGGGGGGGTGGGGGGAGTGGTGGCGACGATCCATCATCATGGTGGTTGTGGGGCAATCGCCTACTTATCCTTTTCACATGCACGGCGGCGTGTCCCCAACTCAACCCCAAACCCTGAACCCCAAAGAAGTGCCTTCAATACGAGGAGCCAGGTGCTTCGAAGAAGGTGCACTTCAGGGAGGGAGGGCGTGCGCATGCCTGCAATTGGCTTTATTAGCAGTCGTCGCCCGAATGACAGAGCACGAAACACTAAACCAAAACCCCTAAACCCAAAACCAATTGTTAGAGTAGGTTCTCCCTCTAATATGGGGGTTTCCGAAATTAGGGGTACCTTATTGGGGTCCTCATTATTCGGGAAGCCTACTAGTTGGGGTCCAGATCAGGGGTCCCTGATTTTCGTAGACCCCACATAGGTCTTTGAGGACTGAAGAACCTTAAGCTGGTGTCTACTTCAGTCTCCTGAGGATTTATCATCTTTTTGTCCGTACATACCCAAATATTAGCTGACAACTTTGAACCAGGGTTTAGGGTTCAGTGAGACTTCTTGGGTTTGCCTGAAAATGTGGCCTTTGTAGGCTTGAGGCAGAAATGTCTAAGCACAGAAAATCCGGGGGCCAGGTACTTTAGCCCAGGCAGTAAGGAAGGTCTTATGAAGTCAGGGTCACATAGCGGGGCAGTTGCAGGCACTTCCCTCGAACTTATGAGAGATCAAGAGGATGATGCTCAACGGCTGCTTCCCGCTGTTTGTCGGCTCAGTGTTTGAAGCCGACGCCCCCAGAGGTAGACGTGGCCATGGCTCCTTACACGGGCGCGGATGCTGACATGCAGACACGCCTCGCCACACCATGGTGTAACCCGGGCAGCTATGGCCACCCATCCCTCTGCGCCCGGCCTTGTATCTACATCGCCAAGAACGGTTCGTGTCATGTGGATGGATGCGACTACTGCCACATGGCGCATGACCTGCCGGTTGCGAAGCTCAACCAGAGGCAGCGCTACGTCTTGCAGCGCCTCAGCGTCAAGGTCAAGATGGACTTGGTCCTGGAAGCTGTGCGTGGCGGCTTGCATCGCGAAGGGCTTACGGACCAGGCGGAGAGCTTACTTTGCTTCTGGGTAGCCCAGTGGCATCCTTTTTGCCATTTTTTGGTTCAAGGTTCCCTTATCGACCAGCCGACTCCCCCCTCCCCCCCCCCGCGCAAAAGAAGAAGGTACCATTATGATAATGTGGTAAGTGTGATACAGTACTTGTATGATCATATGGCTGCTGGGCGAATACAGGGGTCGGAACAGTTACTAATAGTTTTCCCTTCTGGTGCCTGCATATTTATATTGTAATAATCCCAAAACCCTATTCTAACAGTTAAGGCCTCGATATTAGATGCCTCTACGCTGACCCCTTTTATAAACCCCAAATAGAACAGAATCCCCTTACGGGGACCCCCAAAAAGTGTACCCCTACTTTCGGAAACCCCCAGAATATGATCATGCTGGGCTAAACCCTAAATCCTAAACCCTAAATCCTAAACCCTAAACCCTAAACCATATACTAAACAAAGGTTTGCTGGAGCAGGAGGCTTCGAAGCATTCACAGCAAGCAAGCCACCGTGATCAGCGGAGGCAAGTGTATGACTTGCGCAACTCGGTTGGCTTTTGAGGCATACTTTGCATCTTCCCTAACTGTTTTGATATATATATATATATATTTGTTTAAAGCGATCACTCTTCTATAAGTACATGATAGTATATGTAGATTAAGCTTTCGCTTTCATTTTTTCTACGATACAGGGCCCTATAAAAGAATCTTTTCAAAGCTGACCCTAAACCCTAAACCCTCAACCCTCAACCCTAAACCCTAAACCCTAAACCCTAAACCCTAAACCCTAAACCCTAAACCCTAAAGGGTCTTGAAGGGCCTGCCCAGGCAAGGCTCTCAGTCGCATGACCGTGGCTGACACGATCCATGCAGTCCAGGATGTGCTTCTTGGAAGCCCAGTGGGTTTAGGGTTTAGGGCTAGGGTTTAGGGTTTAGGGTTTAGGGTTTAGGGTTTAGGGTCTAGGGTCTAGGGTTTAGGGTTTAGGGTTTAGGGTTTAGGGTGGTACCTTTTTTTTCACTTTTTTGGGGTTCAAGGTTCCCTTCTAAAGTAACCAACCCCAAAAAGGGTGCCCTTCTTGTAATATGGTTGCTGGGCTACGAAGGCTTCCAGAGCACGTGATTCAGTCCCTTGGTAGCTGAATAAGTACACTTTAGACTTTTTCGGGGTACTATCAATGGGTCTGTTTTTTTTTTGTGTGTTTGGGTGTCTACTTCCTAGCAGAATGCGTACACTTTAGACTTTTTTGTATACCAGAATCCCCTATAGAACTGAAAGTGTGCCTTTTTTTTTTGGGGGGGGGGGAGGTGATCTAAACCCTAAACCCTAAACCCTAGACCCTCAGCAACTAAGGTCCTTCCAGAACTTACGTCGAGCACTTCTTCCGAGTGTGGTGCCAGATCCATTGTTCCCTTGTCATAACACCGCGTAACATTTTACATAATTTACGGGTACTGAACCTCAAGAAGTAATAGAACTTACCCTAAACCCTAAACCCTACACCCTAACCCCTAAACCCTAAACCCTAAACGAGGTTCCCAATGATATCCAAGTGCGAGCTTTCCTTGAAGGAGGCCCTGGCATCTTGGGAGGCCCTGTGGTACCCTTTTTCTCTCGTTTTTTGGGCCTAAACCCTAAACCCTAAACCCTAAACCCTAAACCCTAAACCCTAAATGTGATTTTGGTTCGAGGTTCCCTTGCTATATCCCCCTTGGGAACTATTCTTTAAATTTGTGCATATAAAACCCAAGAGGATATTAAGAATATTATGTTTTTTAAGGTTCTAAGGGGAGTATAGCTTATACAGTCGCCCCCTAAACCCTAAACCCTAAACCCTAAACCCTAAGCCCTAAACCCTAAACCCTAAACCCTAAACCCTAAACCCTAAACCCGTTTTTTGATATGGTCACTGGGCTACCAAGGCATTGTTTCCAGCCCCACAGGCAGCGGCCCAGATGTGGATCCTGTGAAGAAAGGTCCCTGAACACCAGGGCGGCCCTCGGCTTTGAAGCAGTGAATGCATGCATCATCCCTAAGGTCCCAAACCCCAGACCCTTAGGGTTTAGGGTTTAATAGGGTTTAGGGTTCAGGGTTCAGGGTTTAGGGTTTAGGGTTTAGGGTTCAGGGTTTAGGGTTTAGGGTTTAGGGTTTAGGGTTTAGGGTTTAACCCTAGGCTCCAAACCCTGAAGCATCAGCCCCAAAGCCTTAGGGTTTAGGGTTTAGGGTTTAGGGTTCAGGGTTTAGGGTTGAGGGTTTAAACTCCAAACCCCAAACCCTAAACCCCAAACCCTAAATACGTCATTTCCATGGGCTGCTGAGAAGCCTAGGGCGATGGGCGCCGATTTGGGCACCCGTCCAGCTTTCCAACAAAGGGTCATTCTGGCCTGAGCAACAATTGTGAGAATAGGCTGGGTAGTGGGGTTTAGGGTTTAGGGTTTCGGGTTTAGGGTTTAGGGTTTCGGGTTTAAAGTGTAGGGTTTGGTGTTTAGGTAGGGCCCCTGTGGTATTTCATGTATTCCCTTCTCGGGTTCAAGAGGATCATCTTCGGGAATTGTGTTCAGGCGGTCTTTGAGGGCCAACCTAGTTCGGCAACTGCACACGCATCATGAGGCCACATCGTTTACATACACCTTCCCCGCTACTTCCATCAAAGCCACCACACTTTGTGCCCCCTTCAAACTGTAAAACGCTCTGCGGCCATGAGAAAATTCGTCGCGCATCTTTGGGCGCGTCTTTGGCTTGAGCTTCCTCCCTGGACCTGCAGGAAACCCACCTGTTAGTAGGGTGCAGGGGCGGCAGTGGGCGAAGCGGTGCACACCGAGGCCCAACTGCCAAAGTAACCGGGGAGGCGTCTCGGGCTTACCTGAAGACTCTCTTAGACTTGTCCCTTCTTGCAGTTTTTCTAGTTGTTGGTGGTCTTAGTTTACGCTTACCCTGTCCTCCCGCCCCACCCCACCCCCCCGGCAGAAAAAAGTCTGCAGGAGGAGCCTTCAGGTACACTCTGCAACCTGATCCACCCCCAGCTGGCACGGTCTGACAGTTTCTTGGGACCATGCCGCCTGAATTTCTGTGCCGGACTCTGAAAGCTGTAGTGATCATTTGCGCTACCCTCAACCCTATAAGCCCTAGACCTTAAAGCCTTAAACCCTCAACCCTAAGCCCTCAAAAAGGTCCCAATGTATCAGAATGTGCCGCGTGTATAGTGAATTTCGAGCTGGAGAGGAGGCTGACGAATGCCTTTGGAGGGTGCCAAGAGCAGCTTTGACATCTCAGGCTCCAGGTTTTTGGTTCTTAGGGTTTAGGGTTTAGGGTTCAGGGTTCAGGGTTTAGGGTTCAGGGTTTAGGGTTTAGGGTTTAGGGTTTAGGGTTTAGGGTTTAGGGTTTAGGGTTTACCGCGTTTGGGGTTTAGGGTTTAGGGTTTAGGGTTTAGGGGTCTATGCAAGGTTTTGCAAAGCTGCAAGAGTAGGCCGCAACCTCAGCTATGTTTCTGGGGTTTGCCAGAACAGTCCAGTCAAAGGTCAAGACCGTCTCTTCGCGGGGTGATCATGCAAGAAATCGCTTGCTGCGCTTGCTCTTATCTTGAAGCATGCAACCCTCAGCCCTACAAACCCTAAACCCTGGCCCCAGCCCCCACAAACCTCCACCTTGCACCCTGAACCCTGACCCCTAAACCCTACTTATCAACCCTAAACTTTTAAACCCTAAGCCCAAAAACCTACAGCCTAAAGCCTATGAAGCCTCAGGCCTAAAGCATGAGTGAGCAGCTTGAATTTTAGGGCTGGGTCGCCTTGGGATGGGGCTTTTGACTCAAAGGTTTGCAGGTTTAGTTTAGGGTTTAGGGTTTAGGGTAGCCCTAAACGCTAAATCCAACAACCCTAAGCCCGAAACTCAAGAACTCAACAGACCCTCCTTGGGAATCCTTACGATGTAGCCAAGGTGGCCATGCACCGGGGTGTTCACCATTGGGGGCTGTCAACCCTGAACCCCGCACCCTGAACTCTGAACCCTGAACCCTACGCCCGAAGCCCGAAGCCCTAGTACTTTCAAGCGCCTCTCGTCAACAGCCCGAAGCCCTACATCCTACTCCACCCCCCCCCCCTAAACCGACAGGAAGTTACGTGGTCCTTGAATATGGTTTAGGGTTTAGGGTTTAGGGTTAAAAGAAGTATGGGCTCGCGGGTTCTTTGGGGTACCCAAGGGGTATCTCAGGGTTCCCCGGCTAAGGGCCCATGTCCAACGACTTTGTAGCTAACCTAAGACTAAACCCTAAACCCTAAACCCTGAACCCTGACAACCCTAGACCATACACTTCCCTTGCGAGGCCACGAAGGAAGCGCCAGCTGCAACAGGACAAGATTGGCCCCTAAACCCTCAACCCTAAACCCTCAACCCTAAACCCTCAACCCTAAACCCTCAACCCTAAACCCTCAACCCTAAACCCTAAACCCTAAGTTTTCGCAGGTAAGAATTTTGGGGTTGAGGGTTTAGGGATTTGGGGTTTTGGGGTTTTGGGGTTTAGGGTTAATGGCTTAGGGTTTATAGAGTTTTGGGTTTAGGGGTTTAGGGGTCTGGGGTTTTGGGGTTTTGGGGTTTAGGAGGGTGTGAAGTTCAGTATTCACTCTAAACCCTGCTATGCATGTTGCCCGTTCTTTTGAGGGCATCATCTGCAGGGACCCCTCTCTGATTATGATTGTTTGTTTTGGGCCGCCCTCAGAAGTGTCATGAGTTTCCCCCACCCCCCCCCCCCCCCCCCCCCCCGGTTCCCCACATAATTAAAGTTATTGAGGCACCTATGGGGGTAGTATAGAGTAGGGAAACCCATGAATAGCAATGGTTTTTTTGGGGCCCAACAGCACGCACAACCCTAAACCCTAAACCCTGAGCCCCCCAAACCCTGAGCCCCCCAAACCCTAAACCCCAAACCCTAACCCCCAAACCCGAACCCCGAACCCCGAAGCCGCCAAGCCCCCCGGGGCCCCCCGGCCACCCCCACTAGCGTGTTCTTTCGGCTCCCATGTGGTGCTTGTTGGAGCAATATACTACAATTCCATGTAACCAATACAGAAAAAGAACTACATTGCAGCCTTCCTAATCCCTAAACCCTAAACCCTAAACCCTAAACCCTAAACAACCCCAAACCCTAAACCGTAACCCCCCAAACCCCCAAGCCCTGGAGGACCCGCAGTTGAGCCTGCACCCCGCGTCACGGCCCCAAAGAGCTCACGGACCGTGAAGCCGAAAGGGCCTTGGTTACAGGGCTTCGGCTTAGGGCTAAGAGGGGGGATAGGATGACATTCTGGGTTTAGGGTTTAGGGCTTAGGGTTTAGGGTTTCGGGTTTAGGGTTTATATGGTTTAGGGCTTAGGAAATCAGAAAACGTGACTTGAAGAAGAGGAACCAAGAAACGACTTCGCAAGTTCGAAGTTCGGAAGTAGTCACCACCAGCTGCAAAAGCCTTAGGGTTTAGGGTTTCGGGTTTAGGGTTTAGGGTTTAGGGTAAACCCAAGCCCTAAGCCCTGAGCCGTAAGCCCTAAGCCCTAAGCCCTGAGCCCTGAGCCCTGAGCCCTGAGCCCTGAGCTTAGGGCTTAGGGCTAAGCCCTAAGCCCTAAGCTCTATAAACCCTAAACCCTAAACCCCAGCCCCTCGACCCTAACCCCCATAAACCCTATAAACCCTATATACCCCAAAACCCATAAACCCCATCGGCTGTTGAGGCAACAGCGGATCAGCCTCCGGCCGCCGAAGCCGAAGAGAAGCCAGGTGGCTCCCCTAAGGGGCGGTTTAGGGCTTAGGGTTTAGGGTTTAGGGCCCTGCCCTTTGGGGCCTGTAACTTGAATCAAAAAACATCCCCTCCTCAGCCCTAAACTCTAAACCCTTGTGAACTCTGAAGCCGAACCTCTCAACTCTAAACCCCATTTTGGCGTTACAAGTCCTATAGAAGCCCTATAACCCTAGAAACCTCCTATGAACCCTTTTGGCCCTATGAACCCTTTTAGCCCTATAAAACCCTATTAGTATAACCCTAATGGCCCTATAAACCAGTCATGAACCCTATTCGCATCCCTTTAGCCCTGTAAACCCTACCAGCCCCATAAACCATATAAGCCCTACAAATCCTAGACCTTAAGCCCTAAACCCTAAACCTTGAACCCTACAAGCCCTGTAAACCCTCAACCTTAAGCCCTAAACCCTAAACCTTAAACCCTACAAGCCCTGTAAACCCTCAACCTGAAACTGCCTGTGTGACAGATGTCTCGCCCGAAGACTTGGCAATGTACATCCGCGCGTCGGGGGCCGAGATGGGGGGGGGGGGGGGGGCGGACCTGTTGAGTGTTTAGGGTTTCGGGGTTTAGGGTTTAGGGTTTAGGGGTAGAGCACCTCACGGTTGAGGGCTTGAGGGGTTTGAGTTTAGGGGTTCAGGACTTTTCAGTTTAGGGTTTAGGGTTCATGCAGCCTTGCGTAAGCGGTTGCCCCCGAAGAGACAAGTCATACCAAGGCAGCGTCGACCACACCGTAGCTCGCGAACCCTAGACCCTAGACCCTACATTGAAGCCCGAAACCCAACTGTAACCCTAAACCCATAACCCTAAACCCTGAAGCCTAAACCCTAAACCTTGGCTAGTGTCCTAGCTCCCGATGTGGATATATATATATATATATATATATACTAGGATGCCCAGTAGTACCCTTATTCCCTTTTTGGGGGGTTTAGGTTCCCTTCTAAACCCCTTTAAGCAAAAAAGGGCACCCTTTTTAAGCCTAGGTGACTGGGCAGCCTAGTATATGTATGTATATATATATATATATATATATATATCCTAAACCCTAAACCCTAAACCCTAAACCCTAAACCCTAAACCCTAAACCCTAAACCCTAAACCCTAAACCCTAAACCCTAAACCGTATATATGCGCAGGGGGCGTCAGGATCAGTCTCAAATAGCCCGAGGCTTCGACTTGACCCTCTTGACC